GAAAAAATCGAGAATAGTACAACATTTTAACGGTTACTCCAGAAATGAATGATACAAACAGTGAAAAAGTGCCATTTAATTCTAGCATAAATGAACATTTGTTGAGACATATAGAGACCACATCAGAAAATTTAACGCATGCCTGATTGGTCCAAACCCCTTCCCAATTGTTAAAAATAAACAAATTTCCTATAAATACCGATGTTTAAGTATATACTTACTTATACTTACTGGATATGATACTATATCCAGTGACTTACGCACAATTAAATCTTGGTGCGATTCTAATCTCCTATGCCTCAACCTTTCAAAAACTAAAGTTTTGTCATATAAAAGTACTATACAACCCTTTGTACTTAATAACACCACTATTGACGTCGTGGACTCTGTGAGATTCTTAGGACTTGTTGTGGACAACTCTTTAAAATGGGACTTGCACATCGAAGCCTTATCAAAGAAACTAAGCTCTGCCTGTTTTGCGCTAAGATCAGTGTCTAAGGAACTTAACTCATCAACCTCTAGAATGGTCTATTATGCCCTTTTTGAGTCGCATCTTCGTTATGCCCTTCCATTCTGGGGTACTTGCTGCGCGACAAAATTTGATCGTATTTTCAAACTTCAAAAGAGAGCAGTTCGATACTTATTGGGACTAAACAGTAGAACTCACTGCCAGAATTTCTTTAAAAATTTCAAAATACTGACTCTTCCTTCCTTATTCATTTTTGAATCCGTTTGCTTAATCCGCAAGCACATATTCTCTATTCCGGAAAGGCCTTCTCACAACTATCCACTTAGGAATGCGGAGCACGATATTTATCTGCCAACCCCGAGCTCAGAACTAGTTAAGGGCTCAATACTGCACAATGCCAAGAAAATGTACAATCATCTGCATTTCGCAAAGCTCTGAAATCATACTTACTGGAGAGAGCCCTATATGCGGTAAACGACTTTTTTGTTGATGTTTAATCATGAACAATTTAGAATTTTAATTTTAATATTTTGATCATCTCACACACTGGTTAAAGGTCTAGTATTTAATATTTTATAACTCTTGATTTTATGTTCTAGATACGCCTGTGTTCTGCAAAGTCCATATATGTTTTATTTGTAATTTTATGACATAATTTTTTTTTTGAATTGATTTGTATTGTATGAAATTTTTTGTATTATTTGTATATTTGTTTTTGTGCTTTTTTTGTTTTGCTTTGTCGATGAAGCTGTTTTGGCTTTTTGTACAATAAAGCGTTGTTTTTTTTAAGTATCAATTTAAAAACTACAAAATTATTTTATACTAATTTCATTAATTTGTTAAAACAAAATATGTATTTCAAAAATTAGAATATATCATAGCACGAAATTTTACTTTTATTTTATTTTTATTGTCAATATAAAAACATTATTAGAATACACAACTAAAATAGTTATTTTTTTAAGTATTTCAAGTTAGTACACTTTTCAATGTCTACACAAGATGTGACAATCTTATTACACAAAAAATAATATTTTTAAATAAGATCTTAACAGTATTTTTTTTTTCTAATAGCATTTTTTAAATATTATAGAATATTTACATATTACATATATTTTTAAGAAATAGACTACCATGTTCGGAATAATTAATAAATAATGGTATATGATATGGTACTCTTTCGAAGCAAGAATTCATATAATGTAGATTATTTTTCCATTTAAGAATATTCATTAAACAATTAAATTTTTTACAGTCGTACCCAGTACCCTGTATGGTCCCAAGACGTTGTATGATCTCTGGACCATGTACAATACCGGCATCATGCGTGCAATGATGTCACAGCAGCCTGTGTCGCTGTAATTTTATGGGGTTAGGTGAACGCCGGTAAAAAACTCGAATTTAAAATACTATATAAATTTAATATTGGTTTACTTTCTGTATGTGTGAAAATCAATAGGTAAATGATAATAATAACAATTTTTTAGTATTCCTGCTACTTTTTGTGGAAATGAGTTTGGAATAAGAGTGTATCCATATGGTTACATTGCCCTGATTTTTTTTTGTTCTATAATTCAGATTTATGGATTTCCTGAATACAAAAGCGACAAGTTCGTTTTATACAAAGAAGTTTATTCTGCAACCCCCACCTCAGGTTTCGGACGGTTCTGATTCTTCAGATGATGAAGAAGATTTGACATTGAAGCAAATTCAAGACAGAATGAAACAAAATGGAAATACAGCTTTAGGTATTTTTTACCTTTCTAAAATTATACATACTCTATACCAGATTTTTGCAGATGATCTAGATCAAGAGTTGGCTGCAAATAACAATGTTTATTCTGACTTTGACGACGATATTGATATGGAACATTGACGAAAAATGACGAAAATCAGCCTGAGCCATTTGCCAAAAAGTTCAGAGAATCTTCGCACATATCCTTTAGTTGGACGAAAGACGACTTACCACAATCATGTGCTTTTGCGCCTTTTACGCCAAATATCAATGACAACGTTTTAGTTCCAATTGAATACTTCATGAAACTCTTTTCCATTGACGTCATCAATGATATTATTGATCAAACAAACCTTTACAGTACACAAGCAACAGGTACTTGTGTCAACACTAATCCTAAAGAAATGACAGATTTTCTTTCTATATTGCTTTACATGGGCGTAATAAGTCTCCCCGCGTACAAAGATTATTGGTCTAATGGTACAAGAGTTGAACAAATCGCAAATCTAATGCCTATCAAGCGTTTCAAAAGTCTTAAGCGCCTAATACATTTCAATAATAATGAAAACATCAACAAAAATAATACAACAGACAGATACGTCAAAATTCATCCGTTGATTGATAAAATAAGGGCAAATTTTCGAGCATTTCATACTAAAAATAATTACTCTATCGACGAGACAATGGTTGCATACAAAGGTACACGCGCTGGAAATCAACGACAATATATCAAAAATAAGCCACAGAAATGGGGATACAAATTTTTTCTCATCGCTGGAGTATCCGGCTTTATACCAGATTTTATTCCATATCAAGGCGCAGGTACATTTGATGAAGGGTCTCATCAAATGTACTCGAAGGGTCCATAAATGAATTGAGTACAACGTGAAATGGGCGTTGGAGCTGGAGTCGTCCTAGCCTTGTCAAAATCTTTGCATGATCCTTGTAATTCAATACTTTTTTTATAACTATTTTGCTGGTCTACCGCTATTTATTTATCTTAGAGATAAAATGAATATACGCAGCCTTGGAACATTACGTTCAAATAGAATTGCTGGTTGTCCCATAGAAACCAATAAGGTCTTGCAGAAACAAGGAAGAGGGCAATTCGACTACAAAGCTGATGCAAAAGGTCTCATTATTGTCAAGTGGGTAGATAATAAACCTGTTCTATTGAGACGCACATCCATGGTATAGAACCAACAGAAACCGTAAAAATTTTTAGCAAAACTGCCAAGGCAAAAGTAGATATTATTTGCCCATCTATAGTAAAAAAATATAACAGGCATATGGGAGGAGTAGATAAAGCAATTGCTTTGATGGGGCTTTACAAAACACCGCATATGGCAAAACGTTGGTATTTCTGTATATTCACGTACTTATTAGATATAAGTGTTGTGAATACATGGCTTCTTTACAGAATTGACTGCTCAGCTATTCAACAAAAGCATATGCCGCTAAAGAAGTTTAGGCTACAAGTTGCAGCTGCTTTAGCTAAATATGGGAAAGAAGCCAGAAAAGGACGACCATCAAGTTCAACAACTAGCGACATTCCGCGTATAAAACGACCTGTAGTTAAAAGGCCAGACTCTACATCAAGAACCGATGGTTTTGCTCATTGGCCCATACACACGACTAAGGGAAGATGCAGACATTGTGTAAAGGGTACTAGCCGACTGATGTGCGAAAAATGTGGTTGTAGACTGTGTCTTACAGAGAGCAAGAATTGTTTCAAAAATTTTCATTTGAATAATTAAAAAAATAAATAAACAAAAGATGTTATCGTGGAGACTATAATAAAAAGAAGAAAGAATTTATTGGGCAAGTCTACAGTAAGATTAGTCATGAGACATGACTAAAACCTACTGACATGACTAAACTGTCTACCCGTAGACACTCACACTGGTATGCATAGTCAGTCGCCAGCGAGTTGACGGAGGAATCGCCCGGCGAAGAGTTGAGAGCGAATTGACGGCGATCTGTTTGCGTTGCATAGTCGTACTCTACTCCGCAGGCTCGCCGGTGTCACGCCGACACCTGCGCGGCACCTTATATACGTATTTTAAAGGTGGCCCATACCAAATATGAATCAATTGTCGCGCTCTGAACAGCGGAATTAGATTTGGACCGCTGTAATCTTTTTATCCGTGTCGTTGAACAGGCGATTTGTGGATTCTTGTTTTTGTTTATTATTATGTGTTATCTTTTCGGTACCGATGGTTTTGGAAAGTGCATAGTTGTTTAGAATAAAGTTAACAGTTCGGGCCGCTTGCAAATACGTTTAAAAATGGCAATTAAATATTCCGTGGCAGACAAAGAACTTTTTATTCAAATTATAGGGAATTACCCCATACTGGACAATAAGAGGACAGACGCTAAGCATACCGAAAAAAAAAAAGAAATGCTTGGGAGAAAAGTACTGTGGATTTCAATGCTGCAACATCTGAGAAGGTATGTATGTATGTAATGAGTAATCCATTAATAAAGGGTACCGGGTATATCTCAGGAAGTAGTAATCAGAGGTTTGGCGTAAATTTTTCCCTAATTAAATTGCCCGAAAAAAAAATGCTGGAAATCATTTTCAAGTTTGTAAAACGTCCGCTACAGGGCAAAGCAACAGTGATCAACTATAAGCATTTCAGTGTTAATACTTATTTGTATTTACAGAGAACAATGACCCAATTAAAAAGGCTATGGGACAAAATGAAGAGAGCGAGAAAGGCTGAGCTAGCCCAGGAGAGACGTGATCTGTTGGCAACAGGTGGTGGACCGCCCCCTGTTCCACCACCGCCTCAACCAGTTATTGATGATTTGGTTCCGCATATTGCATTTGAAGTAGACGTTACAGATGATTCCGATGGAGTTAACTTAAATAAAATAGAAGGTATGACATAAAGTTCTAGTAAATTAATTAGTTGCATGTTGGCTTTCTTTCTTTTATTTAAACGGTAACACTTTCTACTAAAATGAGATAGGTATCTAATGATTTAAGTACTGACAGTCAATATTGATGTTTTAAAAGTATAAACTAAAATTCTTTCAGATATGCACCCACTTGGAACAGCAGTTGACTCATCCTCGGGTCAAAATACATCGCCACTTCCACCAGTGATTGTTATGGAGCAAGGTAGTTTAGCAATGATTTAAGTATTGAAAATCAAATTGATCTTTTAAAATTTCAAAACTAAAATTAAATTAAAATTCTTTCAGGTATGCAACCATCTGGAACAGCATTTGCCTCATCCTCGAGTCAAACTACACCGCGGCTCCCACCAGTGATTGTTCTTGAGCAAGACAAACCTTGTGTATCTACTTCTATGAGGAAAGTATCCCCAGTTTCTTCACAAGGAATTAAAAGATTAGGTAAGTACTTAATAACTCTTAGTGTAAAATATTTAGTGAAATCTGAGTTATAAGCACGCCTTTGGCTCGTACATATTTTTTAATAGTGGCCAATGTTTTCAGGAAAAACAATTCCAAGAGAAGAAATTAAAAATAAACAGATTACAGAACTTACTGAAGCGAGGCTGGCATTAATAAAAAAAGAAGAACAACAGATGGACGAACTGCATAAAATCCGGCTAGAAGAAGCTATTTATAGAAAAGAAGCGGCCAGATTGCAGATGCTTCAGGAAGAATTGAAGTTAAAACAGTTGCAAAATGAGAATTAGACAAATTATTATGTGTTAATCGCGAAGTGTATACGTGAAAAACTTGACTGTGTTTACGCAAAATAAATCCCTTTAGCAATTGCTTATGTATATGTTTTATTCCTCAAAAATTTTTAAAATACATCTTATATTTATTATCCCTGTAGGTGGGTGTTTAAATCTAAAAATAAATTATTTACTACTGGAAATGGTTCCGCACTATGGTTGCCCTCATTAATTGGCCTAAACGATTATAGTTTCCAGCATGGAATGGAATTGCTGGTATATCATCATCAATTTCTTCTGCTGGTTCCATTATTTCACGATGTGTAACTGCTATGTTGTAAAGTACAGCACAGGCAACTATAATATAACAACTCGTAGAAGTTTTATTTACAAGCCCTCTTCGCAAACAAGAAAACATTCGCTTTAAAACCACGAACAAGCGTTCTGCTACATTCCTTGTTCTTATTCGAGCTTCGTTGTACCTTCTTTCTCCTTCGGTTTGTGGGTTTCGAAAAGGAGTTAAAAGATACGGCAGACATGGATATACGGCATCGCCAAGTAAATATGCTGGTAGCTGCCTTCTTTCAAATCTGGTTTTAACAGAGCTTCTGTTAAAATATAGCTGTCGTGGTAGCTTCCCGGATATCTAGCAACAATATCGTAAATCTTTAAATCAGGCCCAGCAACTGCCTGTACATTAACTGAAAATATTCTTTTTCTATTTCTAAAGAGTTCCGCATTCGGTCCTCCTGGATTAATGATAGGGACATGTGTACAGTCAATACAACCAGTCACGTTTGGGAAGTTTCCAATTCTCTGGAAATGTCTTTGAACTTGTTGCAAATTATTTGGAAATCTTATATGTTGTCGACTGTTGGCTGAAATTCTTCTAGTAACTTTCTTTATTACACGGCTTATAGTGGCTTGGTGGAATCCTCTTAAATCTCCACACACTATCTGAAAACAATTAATTTATATCCTATGTATTTTGTTTATTTTTATAAACAGTAATACATTTTTGCTCCCGCTTGCAAATGCTTAAATATTCTCGCCGTTCTTAAAATATTAAGAACTATGCCCCTTTTGTCTAACCTGATAACTATAAATTGTGTTTTAAACATTGCAAAGCGGCGATATCTAGTTGATAATTAATAATGTAAATACCTACTTACCTGGAAACTTCCGGTCGCGTAAAAGCGCAGAGTCACTAGTAAACCTATTATTGGTGGAACAGGCAGCCCCCGATTGGTCGTTTGTTCCTGATCTTCAACTATAGGTAACAAAATATGTTGAACGATAGGTTTCGAGAAGCGAAATCGTTTTCTAAACTCCACATCATTATATTTTTCTATGGGATTTTCCATGTCCCTAATATATCTAAAAATACGTACATATATGTTTAGTTCTTTACTTAATATATTACTACATACCATACTTAACAGTACACATGTGAATTTTTTATCACTTACCTACGTGGTATGTTTATTATCAATTCCAAATCCACAATATCTCTATTTACATTATAAATCATGTCAAAATCGCGAACCATTTTTACCTTCACCTCTAAACTGTACACACAATAATTCTAAACTCGATCAAAACTACCGCAATCCGGCTTTCCGGCGAAACGACGGAGATGGTCTTTTCCACATCCAACAAATCTCCAGCGCGGCGCCGAGGAATATCAAAATGCGCATGCGTCAAGTCGGCGAACGAAGAACTATGCATTACAAATTTCACCCAGCGTACGGCGTTTCTTTGGCGACTCGCTGGCGATTGACTATGCATACCGGTGTCAGTGTTTCTGCCTTCCGGCTTCGTCAATACGGGAGGAATCAGCAACGATGAACCAGCGATCCTGAAAAAAAGAAGGGAAGCAAACGAGGCACAAGGCGCCATTTGCAGCCTGGTTAGGCAGTAGCTTACAATTTGAAGCGTTACTACCAAAAAACCGCTGCGGAGGCGTTCCAACACACCTCGCCGCTATCACCTTGGCCCAGAGAAAACAATAAACAAAAGATGTTATCGTGGAATTTTCTTCTTTTTATTATAGTCTCATAACTAATAATCGGTATATCTGTTGTTATGAATGTTATGAATACAGGTCATCCTTCTAGTTTGCGTAAACTATACCGTGCAGGCAAGTCGCTACCGTATAGCCGCCGCTTAAGAGAGGTAGTATCCTGTAATTATCACGTAATATTCAGAGTAAAAATTAATTAATCTGAAATATCATCCACATGTCCATTTTAGATATTAACCTCTTCAGGTCCATGTTGGCAACGGTGGCTACAGATGGACGAAGAGAAAGATTCTGACAGCTTGTCCAGTGCCTCCGATGAATCAGTTATTGCTCCAATCGTAATGGGTGATGCTTTTTCTATAGTACTTGATCCATTTGTGGTAAGTTTAGCGATTTACATTTGCATTGGCATCTTGTACAAAGTAAGTTTTATTATAGGATCGGAGAATTTCCACACTACAGCCCACTTCGAGTCTCTTTGAAGGCATACATCCTGCTGTCGATTTAAATGATATGAAAAGTCCAAAAAACTGTTTCGAGGCCTTTATGTCAAAGAAAATTATTGAAGCAATTTGTAGATGGACAAATGAGAGAGCCGGTCAATTTTTGACAGAAAATGGAACTCAAAAAGTTTACGGCATATTGTGGAAGGATGTTACGGTTTCCAAAATGTACGTATTTTTTGCCTTGCAACTATTTATGGGAGTCGTTCGTTACCCTACTTTAAAATGCTATAGGAATCGTGATTTTTTATTTGCGGGGCCGAATATATTTTCTGCTGAAATAATGAGTAGGAACAGGTTTTTAGCAGTTCTTAAATTTATAAAATTTAGTGACCCTACTGCATATGTACAGGGGAGACCCATTACACGTTTAGCAATGTTTTTGCGTTTATTAGAGAGAACTGCATGAATCTAATTGACTCTGGTGAGATAGTTGCCCTAAGGCAATGAATGCTTAGTTTTGTACAAGGGAAGATTACATTTTAAACAATTCATAAAATTGAAACGATCCCGTTTCGGATTGAAACTTTTTTGTATTTGCCCCAGCGGTATCTCCCTACGAGGATATACTTACAACTTTGCTTTATATTTCGGGAAGGATTGGTTTGGATCACTAAAAACACGTATGTAACTGGGACAATTCGTACAAATAGGGGTCTGCCGAAAGAATTTACTGAAATACCATTACAGCCATTTCAGACGTGTTTTGTAAGATGTGATGTGCTAATAATTAGGTATAAAATTTACGGCAGGGTTTGTGGAGAAAACACGCTATTAATCTAAAAGTTCAACAAATATTGGTATAAAATAACCTAGCTCAATTGAACATTACAACCTGAAAATCTACACCTGGTTCAAAAAAATTGGCTTACATATGGTACAACGTATGGTGCTAAATTCTAAGGTATTATACACAAATGCGGTAAAAAAAAGATGTACCCACACTGAACTATTCAAAATATCTAATTGATGAGCTCTTGTCCGAAAACACTGAAGGCTACAGAAGAATGAAAGAAGAGCACACAAATGCAGGGAGACGTAAGAAGGATAAAACCAAAGAAGTCAAACATGTTTTCGCTTGTAGTGTCAAGGAAGGGGGAGCCCGAAGAAAAAGAGGAACCTCCAGAATGTGCTAGCAGGAGAAAAAGTGGCGCATTTTTACAAGCAACTTTTGTGGACATTGCGAAAACGCGCCAATTTATTTGTGCACCAAGGAACATTTTAACAAATATCACTGTTATGATTAGAATGTCTTAGTGAGTTAAAATTTTCAGTCAATTTTACAATAAAAACCGTTAAAAAAATCCATGCATTCTTACCATCAACCCTTCTTCCTTTAGGGTTTTAGTTTTTTTTTCATCAAAAATAACCGTCCTATATATAATTCTAAATCAAATAAAATGAATAGTAACCCTTCTTACCCTAGGATTTTTTTTCTGGTTTTATTTGTTTTTTATTTATTTTTTGTTTTTTGCTCAAAGATGACCTTTATAAATATATAACTCTAAATAACATAAAATAAAAAGTAACCCTTTTTCTATAGGGTTTTTTTTCTTGTTTTTTTTTGTTTTTTTTTTGGTAAAAAATGTCTTTTATAAATAATTCTAAATAACTTAAAATTAAAAGTAGCCCTTCTTCACAAAGATTTTTTTTTGTTTTTTTATTTTTATTTTTTTTGTCAAAAATGACCTTCATATATTGTCTAAATAACATAAATTGATAAAAAAATGCAATTTTTTTTAATGGATATCTGGAATAATAAATAATACAGCGGATAGCGTTTTAGACCTGGATTCGAAGGGGTTTAATTTATTGATAATAGACATTTGATAAGGAAATTTGTTATATGAAATTTAAACTTAAAGAAATATTTTTTACATCATGTGTACAATCTTTCCCCTCATGAACATTTTTTCAATACAACCTCTGTAATAATTCTTATGTTGATTAATACCAAAAATTAATAGTTTATAATACCCATGCTACAAATTAGTGACTACATGACAACAGCCACAAGAGAAGGAAAAACTCACTGTCAAAACAGGTGCTGAGGCACAGTTTTCTTACTCCAACAATGAAACAACGTCTAAAGATCTGCACTTCTTATTCTTCCTATTTGCTAACAGGGGATGCAGTTGGGAGAAAGTTATGTTCGTAAGTATCATTGTTCATATATCGATGTGGTTTGGATGATTTTCGCTTGCGAATTTCCAAATTATTTGAGATTTATTAGCGATTTAACTGTTTTTATTTTGTAACAAAGTGTGATATTGATTTACACAGTGTTATCTATAAACATTAGTGCGTGTGTGTAGTGTGGTTGTTATCAACCTGAAGTGTACTTTTTATTCGAAGACACGTGTTTGAATTGTTTATTGGATAAAAAAGTGCGATTTTAAATTGCACAGATTTATCTATAAACATTAGTGTGTGTGTGTGTGTAGTGCGTGGTTGATTTTATCAACCTTAAAAGTGTACTTTCTAGTTGAAGACACGTGTTTGATAACGGAGACTTGTTTGCTTTTTTAAGGCAAGATTAATTGTTTATTGGATAATAAAGTGTGATTTTGAA